GATCCTGGCAGCCGCCGCAGTGTGGAAATTTCAACTCCAATGAGGGTTGGTTCCTTGTGGGCACCAGGTCCGGGTCCACTACCTTAACGGGCCGTTGAGTTACCATGATTTACATTCCTCCATCAATCCTTGTCGGGCCAAGGGATGGGGACCTTGGGGGCGAGGGATTTCGCCTTTTGGTGCAAGTTATTTCAAATAGTGAATTAATAGATTCTAAAAAATCACAAACCTGTACTCTCTGATGGTGAACCAGTTCCATATTCTAATATGAGGCAGTTGTCAGAGAAAGAAAATGAATAATGCAATTAGAATTATATAAGTGATGTAATTGCAAAAGAAACGTAAAGATTGCTTTGATATTAACCTTTTGAAAGATGAACTATTCCTCCATTTATTTTGAGTCAAATAGAAGGTTTCATCGAATTTGTATTTGAAATCTACAAACAAACCTAACAAAAATTAAAGAATAAAAAATGATAAGTAGGATTAATAGTTATTGAATTTACATTTTAAAAAATAACTTCATGGGGGAATTAAACATTACAGAGGATATTGCAAGAAAATGATGGAAGATTTTAAGTAACCTACATTATATATATTAATATATATATATATATATATATATATATATATATATATATATATATATATATATATATTATTTTACCTGTATTTAGAACTTCTTTGTAAACAATATTTTTGGTCGTCCTTTTTTCTCGGACATCGTTAGTATCTGGCTTGATTAGAACTTTGATTGTCGATGATGAAGTTCTTCTTGATAGAGTTGCATATAGTTGGCCATGAGAGAACACTAGTTGAAGCAAATAGACTCCTATATTAGGAATTATTTGGCCATGTGCTTTGTTGATTGTCATAGCGAAGCAAAGTATAATCGGAAACTTCTTACGCTTGAATTTGAAGGGATAGCCCTCATTTTACGTGGTGAAAGTGGTATTTTAGGAATGAAAACATGTTTGCCCACGTGTTGGCCAAATACTATTTCCGCATCAATGATATGGAATTTTAAATTACTA